GAGGCCATTTGACACACTTTATCGTACAAGAACATTTCGCGATAGGAAGAGTGATCGGCGACAACCCAAGACACTCACTCCCGACCATAAATGAGACTTTAGGAGGCGCAGGTCAATATCGATAGACACCAATTACAGTTTCAGAGTGCCTTATAGTTCATCCTTCAATTCGTATAGTATCACACTGACATGCAGCCCTCAGGTCAGAACGTCTCAAGTTTTCTCCTTTGAAGACCTAATCTACATCAAGACCACGAAATCGCTTTGATACAGCGAAACAATAATCGATTTCCCATGGGACTTGAGTCGTCCGCCGAAGAGCTAAACTACTGGAACACAGTCCCCCTGACAATTCGATGTTATCAATCGCTCGACCGTGAGCCGAAAATGGGCTCGTAATATCAATGAAATTTTCTTTGATCAGGAAGCTCAAAAACAAGTATTCATTTGATTCCGTGGACTTCACTGATAAAAAGGTTCAGCCAATAATCATGAAAAGGGCCACCGTGGACTGCAGGCCACAAAACAATTATCGACTTGGAATGTGTTTCCCAAGAAGATTCAATCATGAAGAGACTCGTGGAATTAGAGGGCAAGAATACCAACTAAAAGGTTGCATCATCTCGCTATTTCGTGTATATTGCAAATCATGTTTCAATTGCCCCGATCCCAACATCGGAAAGTCTCGGCAAATGGGTTACGATATCGATTCATCATTATCATTATCATCATCATCATCAACGTATAGCAGAATACAGAATACTAATCGTTATCAAGCTCATAATGCGTACAACATAAAAGAGAATATGTAAGGTGGCCACAAAATGGGTTCATTCTGATAGAGGGGAAAGGAAGCTAACCTCTACAGTGAAGTTATGCAATCTTTTGGATCCAAGTATGTTGACTTACATGTGGTTTTCTTCAGCCCAGAGCGGTCACTGCGAATCAGGTGCGGAGTGGTAGGCAACCGCTATACACATGCAAAACGTATCCCAATCATTCAAACCCAGTGAGTTAAATACCATGCGAGAGCGAATTCGTCCTCGATACATTCCCAAACACTCGGCGACTTACCTCTAGGGTACCAACCCGCACACCGAATCCCATCTGGGCCTGACTACCTAAGCATCGATTGTCGCAAACATCCAGGTGATGAATGTCTTCCACTCGCAAATCCACGGTATCACAAACATAAATCAGGACTGAACGGACGGTAGCACAGTACACGCGACTTCACAACTTCAGTCAGTCAGTCACATCGTCATAACAGGTGATTCAATCCTGCGTGCACTGCTCTAGCCTTAGAAATGCGAGCAATCAGTTCCTATACTGCACAACCGTCGTTGGTCGCACAAGTACGAGAAGTAGTCAACTTCGACCAACTCCTGACCACTTCATTTTAGAACGGGACTAGTCAACACAGTCTTGCAATATCGCCTTGCATTTTAAAGATGCGAACAGCATACTGAACGGAGCAGTAGAACTTCTTAGAATGTCAAGTGCGCTTTGCACATCCTCCGTACATTCAACAGACAGATAACGACATCAGCATACTCGAAATCGCATAACCTCTCTGTCTCAATGCAAACATTTTGGAGACCACTTAGTGCGTTCTCCAGCATTCCGTCTACGACAAAGCTGAGCACGAATGGAAAAATAGGGCACTCTTAACGAGCACCACTGCTAATTTCGAACGACCTGCTTAACTCGCGGTAGACCCTTACGCCTCGAGAAGCATGCCAGTACAGTGAACCCATTACTTTCGTCAGGAGATTTGGAGCTCGATCGAGAACCTCAACACAACGGAAATTATCTGAGCAAGACCAAACGTGGTTAGAATCAAACGGCTCGGTTTTCCTCACGCTGGTTTCTCGTCAAGTGGGTAGACTCTTGGTTGAAATTACTCACGTTTTGGGAGTTGCACGCATCAAGTTCATTCCGGGAATGAATGTTAATCAATAATGAAGTGTTCAGAAATCTCGAAATCTTCCCTAAATGTGTAATGAAATTATTAGACGGAACATGGATTCTTCATCTGCACTGAATTCCAGGGAGTACAACGCTTCTATCACGGTATCGTTCTCCATCCTCCGTCCTATTTTCTCTTTGATAACAGCTGAACAACAGAGATACCAAATTTCAACTTATCAGTTAAAGACTATAACAGTATCTAACAATGGCTGATGAGCCTCACCGACTCGCAAGTCAAACCATTCCAACCTAGGCTTATGTTGAGGTCCTTCAAATCAACCTCCTGTTTTCCCTTGAATAACTCTGATCAGTGTGACAACCCGCGACACCAACACAATAGAACCGAACATTTCCCTGGTGTTTGTAAGCGCCAGCTTTTGTTGTACCGTACCGGAATCGTCTTTATTTCAATGTGGTGACTAAACATCAATATGAAAATAAAGATGCTGGTTACGGATAGTGCTTGCTGCTTTTCTGGTGGGGTTCAAGAGATGAGAATCACCGTTAAATAGTTGAAACAATTTTACATGTGACGAAAACTTATCCCTGAATGCGGTGGGCAAAGCCTTCATCAGTATAACAAAAGGTTACTTTCGCTATACGGAGGAAAGATCTCAAGAGATGTAGGATGAAATAGAAACTGACAAAATGTGATAGAATCGAATCGGTACATTGAAAAAGTGGTAACCGAGAGAGCAAGACAATGTTTTATGGTTAATTTCTGGTGGCAACAATTTGTTTTCTGGACTTAGACACTGGTGGACCTGTGTATGTAAAATGAGACGGAAGATCGGTTTTGAAAAATCAAACTCCAAGGAGAAACGAAACGACACTTGAGACGTGCATAAATGCAAAACGGTTTCATTTGGCCAAAACCTTCACGCCATCCATTAAACGATAGCCGTAGTCCTAACTGATCTCGGGAACACCCAAATCTCGGTCCAGTTTGGCTACAATAACTTGATAGGCCTCGAGATCCGCATTGACGTGCTCCTCAAGTTGTGTGGTAAAGCACTTTTCTGCAACTTCGTTGAACAAACGGATGCCCTCTGGAGTATTATCCTGGTGCCGCCGATCAACCGTACGGCCGCACATGGAGTCCACTCGCGAACGCTGGGTGGGAAAACGATAGGAATCATTATGACACACAGGAAACATGAGACAATTGCGCAACAAACGACTACACGCATATACCGATTCATCGAAATACAAGTACTTTTTATCGGTGATGGTTGCTTCAATTAGCAAAGCTGAAGACGATTCGTCTGAAAACGATATGTGAATAACAAGTACAATCGAAAATTTTCAGCGAAACGCTAACGAAATAAGGGAATCGGTACCGAAAAAAATTACAGAAATCATGAAAATTAATTATTGTGTAGTATTAGAAATAAACAATGGTCTGTACTTGTTCCTTTTCATGTGACCTAGTATAAGCAAAATGAAAACCGAGGTGAATGTCAGTGAATGTCGAGGTGACAAGAGAAAACATCCTCTCAAAATTGAATCCAATTTATGCTCCGTGAGGATATCTCACTAGAGGTAAAGAATAGCCAGTTTTATGGTTTTCTGAGGGATTAGAATAAAAGGGGATTCAATAATATTAGAGCCAGTATACTTACCTCGTAAAATTTGCTAATCCTCTTTTCTAACGCGTTCCGATAGCGTTTCAAGGCAACTTCCGTACGTGGTAGCAAATAGAGCTGGAGAATTTCGAACACACGCTTGGCCTGACACCGGTTGATCTTCAAATGCTGCTTAACGCGTTCGCGGAATAATTGATAGTCCAGCATTGGAACAGAGCCATTGTGCTGCTTTTTCCCCAAAGTTTCCATTATTTCCCGATTTTCCAGACATTGTTTACAATCGACGAAGTCACGAATTCGCCGCAAGTCATCTGAAGGATCTTCAACTAGAATGATAAAAATGAGGATTATATTGTGACCCAAAGCTTTGAAACTGAAAAACTGACAATAGTGTCTATGAGACCGAACTGAGAGAAAAAACAGATGGCTTGGGTACAGTTGTGCGGTTACCTATCAGTTAAGCATGCAGTGAAGGTGTAACGCTTGGCAACCTCATCCGTAATATTTTATCGTGAGCGCTAGGACCTTTTGAGTTCGTGGCTTTGCCTTGCAGGTTCACCCACCGAGGACCTGTTTGCCAGTGTTTCCTCGCCACCTCGTACCCCGGTCGCCTTTCCACTTAACCGTCGTCCATTGCCCGCAAAGCCAAGTTTTGTCTCCATCTTTTAATTATACAGATTTTGTGTAATGAACAGCACACGGGGTCAACTCCATGGTCGTGTAGACCGGCTATTCAGTGGAAACCAGCAACCTAAGCCTCGGGATTTGGGGTGGTGAACCACATGAAGCCTCATTAGGTTAGGTGCGGTATCGAACCGGACGACAGCAAAGCTGCCTACCACCAAAGTTGGGTGACGGCGGCGAGGTTCAAACCTCAAACAATAGGGCCGAAAGTACACGGGATCCTCAGACGATCGTGCAAAACACTAGTGCCTCAGATGGAAACTTTGCCACTGCTCCCTCATGTCCTACCTCGACCATTGTTCAAGTCTCACCGATTCCTCCACCAGCTGAAGCCCTTCTTCACCCTCGATGTCCTTTCAAACTAGCCACATTTAATGTGCGCACTCTGATGCGCATAGGACAACAGGCCTGTTTGGCTCGTACGCTCGAGACCCTAGCCATCGATGTGTGTTGTATCCAAGAGAATCGCATTCGAGACTCCAGCTCCATTATCCGACTGAAGTCCCCATCGAACCCATCAGTGAAGTTTCACTTACGCCTCTCTGGGGACCCTG